TGGGCTTTTAAAAAAAACACACACCATACATCTTGGAGAAATTGCTACAAAGCAATATCTTTTCAGAGAATGGGAGCCTTTTATTTACCTGCTTCAAAAAAGAGCTCAAGTTTATTCAAATGCTACAAATCTTACATAAATGCATGCTTTGGCAATTGATGTTTATGATGATAAATGGCCATTTATGGTCATTTTATGCTGGTATAATACAAACTATTAAAGTTTTTAGTGACAATTTGCCACAAGTTAGGAAGGCTACATGGATGTTGTTTGTTGTGCCCCAAATTGAACAACTTGGCACACAACAGATAGTGCCTGTTTTTAACTTGCAGTAGCATACTTTGAAAAGTTACGCCATTTGTGTTATGCTTGTGAATATAACTAATAGGACTTTTATCAATGATTAATAATAGTAGTCGTTGTTATTAGTGCTGACATCTTCATGGTTGCCATCTTATGGACTTGGCCTACACCACCAAATAGGGTAAAACCGAGCAATTGAATAAATAAAAGGTTTACAGACTAGGTGTCCAGGGAAGGCTTCAACAACACCTTATAAGATCATTCATTACTGTCTTTTCATAGCCAGCGGTTTTTTAAGAAATAAAATGGATGCATGCCATTGAAAGATATATACAGTGGTACCTTGACTTACAAACTTGATCCATATTGAAACAGAGTTCGTACATCAAAAAGTTCGTAAGTCGAGGCAAACTTTTCCATAGGAATGCATTGAAAACCATTTAATCGGTACCTGCTGTTTTTCGTTCTTAAGTCGAGGCGCTGTTCTTAAGTTGAAGCATTAGTTTCCCATAGGAACTAATGCAAAGCTGGTTAATCCGTATCTACCACTAGGGGTTGATCTTTCTTCTTCTTTTGACCTAAGGTGAACTTAGGGCAGGAAAGGGTTTTTTTCCTCTTTTTTTGGTTTGTAAGTCGAGGCTCCGTTCGCAGGGCGAAGCAACTTTTTGCGAATGGAGCCGTTTGTAACTTGAATCGTTCACAACTAGGGACGTTTGTAAGTCCACGTACCACTATACAATAAATACTGTATTCCTTGTGTGACTGCGTGCTTTTAGAATCTGAACAAACATCACATCCCATGTATTAAGCACATTAGGATGCTTTTCTTATCTAAAGTTCTTGATCTGTGGGAAAACGGTCACGGGTAGTCCTTTCCTCGTCCATGTTACAGTGGGGTAAATGACTGAGAACACAAACGCTCCCATCTCAGTGATACGATTTCTTTAAGTTCACTGTCGTATTTTAAAGATCTGCATTATGGGTTTAATCTGGAATGTACTTGCCTAGAAGGGCAGAAATGCTCTGCTGATGGAAAATGCTTCTCCCTGATATTTTTTGGGGAAGGGGGGGGATCTACCTCTTCCCTTGCACCACAGTTCGCCCCACCAGGAGCATCTCCAGACCCTGTGTGTTCCATTTCCTGGAAGTTGAATGGACTGCCATGACAACAATGAGACAAGGAACACACTTGGACCAACCTGGTTGCACTTGCTCACGGCTTGATCTGATACATTGTAAATGAGAAGGTGTCCTTAAACTGGAATTTCAGCCAGTCACATGGAAAGATTTGCTTTTATTGCAGTGTGGTTTATAGATCTTGCCTTGCCAGATACTTTAGATAATTTCTCATGTTGCATTCTTTTCAGAATATGCATATCAAATAGCATTTTCCGGAAGGTCCTCTTGGTATTGCATGCTTGTCTTATCTTAGTTGTTCTCCATTTTCCAGACTGAAGCAAAATGTTAACCTACAACTTTCTTATCTTGTGTGTAGCAGCATCCAAACTGTAGCCTTGCTGGTCCTGAGCTAAGTAAGAATACCTGTGCTTAGCTCCTGTGTATGTTTTCTGGCAGCTCCAAAGTCAACTAAGGCCCCAGGGTGTTTGTGTTTATTTCCGAGTTTTGTCTTTTCTAAATGTTCTGTGTATCAACTTACAGTTCAGACAGTAGCAATGCCAAACGTGCTGAGATTTGGGAGTGTGCACTCCCCCACCCCACCCCGGCCTGGTCTGTGGCCAGATAAGGACATACAGATGGGTGTCTGAACCGCCTTTTGCCCTTCTGGAGATGCTCTGAAACAATTTGCAGATAATGTGATGTGATCTGGAGATACTCTGCTAGAACTGCGGTTTAAGTCTCTGGCTGTGGAGCCAGAAGTTGGTAGTTCAGTCCTCGGCTGTGGTTCCTTGGCAGGGTCTGGACCGGATAATCTGGACGGTCCTTTCCAGCTCTGCAGTTCTAAGATAACTAAGCTTCTTGTCTGCTTCTATATTTGTAAGTTTCCAAAACTCCAGGGAGAAGAAGACAGTCACACAAATAGGGAAATGCAAATTGCAAGGTTGAGCCAATAGCACAAAGGCACCAGGCCTCAGAGTGGGAGAGGGCTGGGGGGGGGAAGAAATGCTTCTGGCCAGAACACCCCGTCGTTTGAGCTAGATGCTCTGCTTTCTTTTTCCTGTTCTTTTTTCCCCCCTAGACTGCAGGAGAAAAACAGCAATCTCACCAGTGAGCAGAGACGCTTCCTAAGGCAGTCGCAGAGAAAGGAATGAGTGACAGACTTTTAAAAGATGCCTTTTTGAAAGGGCCGTGGGGGCTGCCTGCAATTCCTACACACAACTTGTTCCCTTTCTCAGCCTCTCTTTTTATACTCATCAGAACAGCTAGTAGGTTTATTCATGGCGGTGGGGATTAAATAGTTTATTTTTGTTGAAAAAAAGTAGAAGAAAGTTCCAAACCTATCACTACACTTTCTGTTCTTTATTTATCTCTCTCCTGCTTCCTCTTCTTACTTGTTCCTGAATCTGATGCTGCTGTTTGGCAAAAAGGGTGTGGATACCAAATGACTGCAGAAAGAAATCTTATAAGTACTAAGAACATATAGATTTTGATGATTTACTCAATAACTTTGCAGCAAGAAAAGGGAAGGAAGGATCTTTTGCAAAGTAAATAGTAAATTACCAATGTACTCTTCCATTTGTGGTAGCTCATAAGGTATTTAACTTTGATTCTCTTCCCCCACTTCTAATTTAATTATTTAATATGAGGGTCCTCTGGGCGGGGATACTACTCTACCCTGTGTGTACCACTGGGCTCTTTGCCCTATGGTCATGCCTAAAATGCAGACATGGCCCAGATTTCAATAGTGTTGCAGCATTTGGCTAAATGTGGGCCACATTACATCTGAGTTGCGTAAGACTCATGAATAGCAGATGTCAAACCTTGTCAACTTGTTGGCCATTTCTGTAGTGTTGGGTTCAGATGCCAGTTTGTACAGCTAAAGTGGTTAAAAGAGACCAACTCTTCCTCATCAGCTACACAACAGGTCCCTGAAAATTCTACCCAGGGAATCAGATGATGCCAGAGAATGGAATGAGCTCTGGTGTAGAGGAGAAGGTTCCTCACCAGCTGGCAGAGGAGCCGTTGGGGAGGAGAACCTTTCGGCCCATGGAAGGCGGATCCAGGATCCAGTCCATAATGGTTGTGCAATATATTTTCCTGCTGAGTTGATGTATTTTAATTATTTTTAAGTTTTGCTTTATACTTTGCCACCTGGGTATTATAAGGGCAAATATTAACAATGAAACAAACTAACAAGAGTGTAAATGATCTCAACAAGTGCAAAAAATAAGACTGCTGAAAATGGTGATTGTGATGATGTAACAATCACAAATAATGTGATTGTGTAAATATGTTTGTTATGTGCTGTGTCTTTCTCTATCGGCTTGGGCATGTCGTGAGAATGGCTGACAGTAGGATTCCAAAAGATCTCCTGTATGGAGAATTAGTGCAGGGAAAGCACCCCAGAGGGAGACCACAGTTGTGATACAAGGATATCTGCATGTGGGATCTGAAGGCCTTAGTAATGGACCTCAACAGATAGGAAATCCTGACATCTGAGCGTTCAGCCTGGAGACAGGCGGTACAGCATAGCCTCTCCCATTTTGAATAGACACTTGTTCAGCAGGCCGAGGCAAAGAGGCAGCCCTGAAACCAGAAAAATCAGGGAGCTGGACAGGGGACAGATTGTATTTGTCTTTATTGTGGAAGGGATTGTCCCTCTCAAATTGGCTTTCTCAGCCACACTAGACACTGTTTGAAGTCCTCCATACAGAGCACGTTACCATAGTCTCTTCTTTCTCTGTCTCTCTGTTTTGCTTTCTTTATTGAAATTTTTATATAGAATCCATGTGCTTTATATTTGGTTTGCAAACCCATTCATCTAACTAAGTGATTTAAGGTCCTAAAGGTGAAGTTGTTTCAGTTTGCGCATAGAGGAACTTAGGAATCCTATGCTGGAGTTTGTGTTGATGCCAGTCCTGTCTGAGCATCTTTATTCATGTGGTGTGCAGGGCTGTGGTCTTCAGTATTTGGGCAATAGAAAGAAAAAAGCCAGAGAGTACAGAGAATGAGCTGTTTTTCTCCACAGTGACCACCACTGTAGTCTAAAACAGTGGTTCTTAACCTTTGTTACTCAGGTGTTTTTGAACTGCAACTCCCAGAAACCCCAGCTAGCACAGCTGATGGTGAAGGTTTCTGGGAATTGCAGTCCAAAAACATCTGAGTAACAAAGGTTAAGAACAAGTGGTCTAAAATGTACTTTGTTATATATTGCATTTTCTTTGTTCATGACTTGCCAGTTCCATAGAGGGATTAGCTTCATTCAGAACCTAGTGTTCTTTGTTGTGATTTAAAACACGTGTGCCCACACCCTCTAGACATTTTCAAAATTGTCTGAGTAAATATGTTCATTATTGCATAGTTCATACCTATAATCATTGGCAGCCATTCTGGTGCACGGTCACTTATTGCAGCGCGTTTGTTTTGTTTTACCTCTGTAGACCGGACTGTAAGCATATGTGCACATGGGCATGCATGTACAGAGGGCAAGAGTTTATATGAATAGGCTCCGTATCTCCAGCAGCTACAACAAAATCACTAGAATTCACTAATAATTATTTTCTTCCTTTTTCTTTTAGGTAGAAGCATTTTGTGATGTGGATGAAAATAAAATTGCAAAAGGATTTTACACTTATGAAGAATCTAAGGTTGGTAATGGTTCTGATCAAGTCATGGTTGGAAATTCTACACGTGGGCTGCGATTCTATAGTTGGTTCTGTGATTCTCATCAGCTCTTGATAGTGTGGAAGTTGTGGAAGAAGTCACAGATTCCAAATGGAAAAGGTTAACTGTTTGGAGCCAAAAATGTCATCTATTTAAACCTTAAATTTCTGGTTATCAAATTTAGTTTGAAATTATCTTTGTAGCCTCTTTAATTTCTACCGCATATTTGAAATTACTGTTCTGTCTGGATCCATTTGTCAGTGGCATAGTTGTGGGTGTGGAATGTGACAAGGGAATCTCCTGATCATTGGTAGCCAGTTGGTGGGCTAAGTGGGGCAATGACTTCTCTTCCTAGCCTTTGCAAGCTGATCTTCCTGGACTTCCTGGCTTAAAAACATGTTGGGATGTTTGCTTACTTTCTAAGAGTTGTTTGGCTACTGAAGATTCTTAGCCCACGAGATCTCACACACATGAGCCGGAACCTCAGAATATCAACATATGCAACAAGAGGGAGAGACATTCATTCCATACCACATTAACCAGCAAGGAAGGCATCTCTGCCAGAAAATATGAAAATTGTTTGGAGATTAATGGCTGGCCTACTGCCATTTGCTAAATAGCTTCCCAGTGAAATGGAAATGTTGGGTTGGGACCAGATTTATGCCCCACAGAATAGTTTATGGCTCTGTTCCATCCCTAGGCAGTAGGTGGCCTCCTTCAGTTTCCTTGGGAAGGCTATCGCCTTGTTTGTGAGAGAACGCTGGCAGAAGAAAATAAACTTTTTGAAACAAAAGGTTGTCTTTTTGAAAGGATTTGTCGTAGAAGTACAGAATGGGGAAGAAAAGGGTTAGAAATTATACTGAATTTTCAAACAAACATTATCCTCTTGGAAACCCAGTCCATGCTGATTTTTTACTTCCTTCTCCCAAACAGCAATCTTGAATGAGGCTATAAAATGAATATAGCATGGGGAGGGAAAACAAAATGGTGCAGGGTTTTTGTGAATTAACTTCTCCTGGGTCAGTAAATTATGTCAGTAAAAGGGGGATGATATATCTGGGCCTGGACATTGCTCCTGCTGACATCAGTGGGAATTTTGCTACTTGCAAGGGACTAGGAATTTTGATCCTTGCATGAAGAATCCAGACTATATGCCAAAGGAAGTGGGAGATCTATGGGGGTATAATTTATTCTCTCTTTGTGTCGGTGTAGCAGCCCTATATGCCCTTTGCTGTCCTATCAGTATTGCTAGACATATTGGTATTTCATTCATCTCCAGTGAAGATGAACCAGACAACATAATTAACCTGTTGCATGTGAGCAATGGACCAAGAAAGGGCATGAGCATAAGGGAGCACTGTTGGGCAATGGTATCATTCAGAACAATTGGCTTTAAAAGGCAGCCCCAAAATGCAACAGAAAATGTGCTTGTTTCTCTCTAGGAAAATCCCAAACCCAAGATCCCAATCATGCATTTCAAAGATGCATCCCCACCTTTCATTATTTGCATGAAGTTGGTGAGTATAATTTCAAGTCTAAGCCAAATGTGTAAAATCCAGAACGGGTTAAAGAACTGTGATTTCATTTCTGAAACAGTACGTTTTAAACAATCATTCATCATGTCACTTTTTTATCATGGCTCAGGACATTGTTGGTCTTTATTTTGGTAAATAAAAATACAAAAATTGGGGTTTGGACACGGACTGGAGGACTCTTGACCTTAAGTTTACGAGTGAGCCATTCAGGATATTATTATCTTAGAATAAGCGCAGGCAACATGCCCTCCCAATAAAACCTGGTTTTACCCCAACGCAAAATGCAGTCTCACACTGGGAGTCTCCTATGCAACACGCAGAAAGTGCTCATTTTCATAGTTTTTCTGGTGGCAGTCTCTGAGGTAGGGGACTGGTCCCAAATTTGTCAGATTTGCCCAGTCCTCTCCTAAAATGACGCCTGTACAAACATTTCATGATACTCATGAAACCAAACTACATGTGCTACAATTTTAAAGTACATTTGAAAAACACTATTTCAGAATCCCTTCCCTCAGGTACACACCATTTTTGTTGCTACAAACTGCAATTATTTCAAAGTCATTTTGGCGTGGCCATTTTGTACACATCTTTTCTACCTTACAAGGTGTCCTCCCCACCATGAAGCAGCAAATGTTAGAATTGAATGTTTGTAAAGAGGCTTATCAGAGCTTCAGCATATTAGCAGCAGTGAAGGAAAAAAAAACAAATTTATCATCAGGTACACAGCATCATAGCCTATGTTGCATCTGCTCTGGTGTTGTGTTGAAAAATCTGAAATTCCCTATTCCAGGCAAGAGTTGATGTTTAATGAGCCATACTTAATATCAGCTTTAAAATCATTAGTTAAAGGCTTACATCTGCCACAGACACCCTGTGCTTATTTGAGAAATGCAACAATCTCTTAGCCATAGTCTCCGATCGGTATTTGGGAGGATACTGAGTGCAGAGATCTACTTTCTAGTTAGGTGGGAGATAATGATGGGTGCCTTTAGGGAAGCACATTGAACACTGAAACTGTGTATCAACATCAGCTAATATTGGGCCAAATCCAGTTGTGTAATTACACCACCGAAAAAGAAATAGCATAATTCACTGTGGCAAATAACCCCTAATTAATGTGTCCCCGCTTGGATTCATGGTTGTGTACCAAGCCACTCAGCTAGTGCTCTAATGAGGAATCTTAAGAGAGGATCCATTAATTAGACTATCAACTTTGGTGGAAATAGCTCAGATTTGGGGCATTATTTACAACATATGTAGGGATGTGGTGGTGCTGTGGGCTAAACCGCAGAAGCCTGTGCTGCAGGGTCAGAAGACTAGCAGTCGTAAGATCGAATCCACGCGACGGAGTGAGCGCCCGTCACTTTGTCCCAGCTCCCACCAACCTAGTGGTTCGAAAGCATGCAAATGCGAGTAGATAAATAGGGACCACCTCGGTGGGAAGGTAACAGCGTTCCGTGTCTAAGTCGCAGTGGCCACGTGACCGCAGAAGATTGTCTTCGGACAAACGCTGGCTCTATGGCTTGGAAACGGGGATGAGCACTGCCCCCTAGAGTCGCACACAACTGGACAAAAATTGTCAAGGGGAACCTTTACCTTTACCTTTTACAACATATACTTGGAATAAAGGTGAACTAGATGCTGTATTGCAAAGTAAGCAAAAATCAGGTGTTGCTTCCAGATATCAACCACTGGGGAGTAAATATGTTCCTAAATGGTGTAAATATGTGGGCAGCGTCAACAGCAGTATGCTGGTGTGCATGTGGCTATTGGACAATGTTTAAATGCCTTGGAGAGGAACAGAAGTTAGCCAGAGATCATATAACAATATAGCAGCAGTCTAATAGCATCTTAAATCTTCTGAAGCACCTAGAACTACCTTTGGCATGTCACGTCAGTAAATCCCACTTTTAAAAATACTCCAGAGCTTCTGAACGACTTGCCAAGTGGAAATGCCTTTCTTCTGTATCTCCTCCACTTTCCCTTTGCATGAAGCAGACAGTGGTTTGCTTTGCATCAAGCTTGAGCGGAAAACCTCATCCAGCCTCTCTTCAGCAACCCCTCACCACCAAGAAAAATTATACGGTGGTTTCCAGTGGTTGGGTGAATCGTCTCATTGCAGGCAGGCTTGATGGCAGAGGAAATGGCTTCTAAACTGGTTAGAACTTGCTGAGAGGAATTGAACTCTTGCTGCTCTGAGGTGATATTATGCAGACTGAGGATAAACCCAAGGATTCAGATGTATTTCTTGGCCTCTTGAACTTTCATTTCTGCACAGGCCACATCTGAAAGAGGAGATGAAAAACAAACCTACCACATTGCTGTGTATTTAATTTCCCTGGAAGACAAGCCCTCCTCCTCCTCCTCACTCACTCAGCTAACGGGAGATGCGTTCTACGAAGCCGAGCAGAGGAATGAATGGGGACAGCCAGTTGCTGCAGGGAGAGAGGGAAAGATCTCCCAAGCAGCCCTCATGTTAGAGTCAGCATTGTGATCCATGCTGCTAGGGATCATATTAAGCATCCGCAAAGGACCCATGAGATGGCAAACTGAGAGGGCTGTTAAAAAAACACTGAAAGCAGTGTGGTGCTCTTACACCGTACAAATGCAGGAGAAGGGATGCTTTTATTAGACCCCTAAACGCAAATCAAGCCATCAGTGAGCTTTCGGAGTCAAGTCCACTTCTCACACCTTGCCTCGATATTACCGAAAAGTTTTTTAAAAGGGTCTGAAAAATTCAGGTCTGCTTTTTCAGGTGAGTTCAAAGGCTGGCTGCAAAGAGCCTTATCAAGAGTAGGAGGCGGGTTCAGGCATCATCCCTGGTCCCACTTGGCTGGCATTTCCCCAGCCTCAGCCAAAGAGGAACTTTGTATTTCCCAAGCAGGCTGTGTGGTGGCAGGTGTGAGGGTGGAGAGAGGTGTATGCAGATGATTTGCTGGCTCTTTGTTTGAAGAGCTGCATGGAAGATCCCACAAAGGCTCACTAATTAAAAAAAAATGTTTTAGTGGTCTGAAAAAGGTATGGCCTATCCTGCAATAGGACTGGAATTGATTCGTCTAGTGTATTGCTGATTGACAGTATTGTGGCCTGATGATCAAGAGGAAATTGTGAAACACTGGTAAGAGGAGCACAAGATGAAACACAGGAACAAAAGGGTCCCTGGGTTTTAAACCTGACAGCTGTCAAACCTACAGTTCAATGCATTCCAATGGGGGGGGGGAAATTCACCAAAAATTAACGAAGAGTCAGAACAAAGCCAAATGAAGTTTGCAAAGGTTTTACAAGTTGCACTAACGATCCCAAGCATTTAAAACAGTTTTGGAACATTTTAAGACAATTGAAAAATAGTGAAAACGGACATCGCAAAACCATTGGAATTCATTGAATACGCTTCAATGCATTCATTGAATAGGCTTCAATGCATTCCAGTGGGGGAAACATTGTTTTGCTTAGCGATGTTTCCTATGGCGATTTTCACTTAAGGACGGTAATCCGTTCCCATTGGAACAGATTAACCGGTTTTCAAAGCCTCCCTATGGGAAATGGTGTTTCGCTTAGCGATGTTTTCCCATAGCAATGGTTTTTTTTAACCAATTAACATTGTTAAGCGAGGCACCACTGTACCTTGGTTGGGTCATCTGACACATTTGCTTTCCTGAACCTTTTACCTGGTGATACCATATCCTCTTGTCTGACACACCAGTGCACACTTAGTGACATGCATCTGTGGTATATGTGAGAAGTTTTTTAAAGCTGAACATAAAGCGCCCTTGAAAAATTAGCCCCATAAGGGAGTTGACAGCAGTTTTTAAAAAGAATGATCAACCATACAGAAACTAATGAGTTGAAACAGCTGTTTGCCTGTGCTAAATGAGGAGGGGGTAGTGGTTTCAAAGTAGTCCTATTCACAGCAAAGTGTGTAGAAGACTAATATATACACTAAACTGACTGACATGAACAGGAAGGTTGTAGGGAACAGAAATGAAACTTGAGGAAGACACAGGATAGGATTCAGCAAGTTAAATAAGAAAGAAAGGGATCTAGGTAGCGTTTTAGGATGGCTCCAAACATTAGAGACTTAGGACTTAAAAATAACGTGTGATGGAAAAGGTGGGGTTTATGGAGTAGAGGAAGGAATTTCATAGGGTGGAACAGAAAGTTGGGTCGAATTAAGAAGAGTTCCAAAGCAGAAGGATTGTTGCAAAGAACAGCATTTATAGGTCTATGCTCTTCTAAGATAAATGTTTTCATTCTGATTACCAGGAAAATGGGAGAAGCAACTAGATCCCTACCTAATGTATGATATAAAAGGGAAGGCAATATTGGATTCATCAGGATCAGCTTTTGTTCACAATTCTTAAGCTAGACTAGAAAATGGAAGGTTCAGTAAAGTCTGACTGGCTGGGAGTTTTGTCTCCAACCATTTGCAAATTCAGTCTCCTTGCATATGTATTGGGACTCCTAAGTTACAGTAGACACTTAAATCAAGGAACGGACAGACTTTTGCTTATTGTTCAGAAGAGGAAGCTGAGTTAGCTGCCACTTAGTAATAAAGGTGTAAACTAGAAAAAGGTCATGTATAAGATTGTGTTGATTTATAAATTATAAATGCAATGCCAGCTGAGGCTGATGAAAATATTGCGGTTGTATAATTGCACAGTGGCAAACGCATAACTCATTCTCCAAACACTAGGTCATCTCCAGTGTTATGTTTGCCATGCAGAGGCCAACAAAAACATTTTCAGTGACTTAGAAAAGGGAAGATAACCATCAGGGAGATACCAAGGCAGGGAAATTATCACTAGGCAGAGAAGGGAGGGTGAGATGCTCTTTGAAAGTTACTGAGCATTGATGTGGCTCTGCCCCCTGGCAAGCACCAGCACAGAACAATAAGTGTCTCAGGAATACTATATTTATTCAACTTAGAGATTTTTAAATTTTTAAGACGTGATTTTAATTTTTAAAAAAAAAATCTTTGTTTTAATGTTGATAAATGTTTAATTGCATTTTTATAATGGTATTTCTATGGTATATTAGAGCTGGGGTTTTTTGTATACTTTTAATTGTTGTGGCATATACCAAGAGCCAGGTCTATAGAGTTTGTGTCCTGAGCACACTCCTGTACTGCAGTGAGTCTTGGACCCTTTGTACACAGCAGGAGAGGAAGCTGAACACCTTCCCTATGCGTTGCCTCTGACGGATTTTTGCTATCACCTGGCAGGACAACGTTCCAAATAGAGTAGTCCTAGAACGAGCTGGAATTGTTAGCTTGTATAGATTACTGAAACAGCGACATCTACGTTGGCTTGGGCATGTCGTGAGAATGGCTGATGGTCAGATTCCAAAGGATCTCCTGTATGGAGAATTAGTGCAGAGAAATCGCCCCAGAGGGAGACCACAGCTGCGATACAAAGATATCTGCAAGCGGGATCTGAAGGCCTTAGGAATGGACCTCAACAGATGGGAGGCCTTGATATCTAAGCTCTCAGCCTGGAGGCAGGTGGTGCATCATGGTCTCTCCCAATTTGAAGAGACCCTTGTACAGCAGGCCGAGGCAAAGAGGCAGTCCCGAAACCAGCAAAATCAGGGAGCTGGACAGGGGACAGATTTTATTTGTCTTCAGTGTGGAAGGGATTGTCACTCTTGAATTGGTCTTCTCAGCCACACTAGATGCTGCTCCAAGTCCTCCATACAGTTACCATAGTCTCTCGAGACTGAAGGATGCCTAATCAATCAAAAAATCAATAATTGTTGTGACCTACCTTTGGTCTCTTATGAAGAGAAACGAGGTATGTAAGTCTAATAAATCATGGTACGGCTTGTGTGACAGAAGGTATGCACCCTGAGGAGGAAGAAGCCACTGTTGGTGTCTCATGCCATGCTTGACTAGAAGGATGTGTTCTGCTCAGTTGTGGGGTCTGTTGTGTATGCGAATGATGCAGTTAGCATGGGAGATTGAATAGGAGTCAGGCTTTGGAGAGACTTGCTTTTCTGGCAAACCCTCCAGAAACAAGTGTCTGCATTCTGCATATAAAGCAAAGGTTTCTCTTTTGCACACCCCACGCCCACATCTTTAAAATGCTTGGTCTGTCATGTGAGGAGATGTGTGAGGATGCAAGAAGCAGGCTTTCTTTAACTTTGCGTGGTTGGAAGAGCTTGGATGTTTGCTTTGGAACCACTTGAAACCCTTGGGTGGAACTTCTGCGGTTGCCAGCTGTGTGGTGCACCTTCCCTCCTGCAAGCAGCTCCTGGCTAGCTTGTTTTGGCATTCTCTTTAAAGTCAGACTTCATGGGATGAAATAATTGCCCAGTATGCTCCCTACTGGGCATTTCAATAAAACTGATCCAGCACGTGGAGGCAAAAGGCATCAACTGGACCAGACAAAGAATGTCGCTCTCTTATGTTTCATTGTGTATTTTTCTGTAAAACCTTGTAGAGAAAAAGAATTTCATCTATTGTCAGCCTGTAATTCAATGCGAGCCTGTCCTACCACTGAGCTTTGATAGCCTTTCTTGTTGATCAGATTCAGGGAGAGAAGGACACCATCCGCAGATCACTCTTGATAAGTTCTTCTTTTGCACAAACTTCTTTCGATTTTGCTTGCCGCAACCCAGTTGATGAGGTTTTGAGGATTCCGGTGCTTCCCTGGTTTGGGTTTCCTTTGAAGTTGGCCACTGAAAACTTGATGGTGCTTTGTATATAAATGGAAATATTTAAATATACAGGTTGAACATCGGTGCGAGTGTACAGCATTAACAATAGCTACTGTGCCCCAGATTTTTCTTCAGTAAGTTCTCTAGCTTGTTCTCTGAACAGTGTCATCTCTCTCTACATGCAAAACTGAAGGCTCAGCTTGCTCCCCTTTCCCCTGGCTAGGTGGAGGACTGAAGGTTTCCACAGAGTTTCAGCTGAACACCATTCATGTGACATGGCCAAACCACTTTTGATCTTAAGCGTTTTCCTGAGCTTTTTCAGTCAAGAGTCACTGGACTAGAGAGATCCTTTCACGCCGTCTGTAAAGCTTGTAACATAATGTCTTCGAAATTCTTGTGTGATTCACAAGATTGCAGGTTGAGGAAAAAACTATATAGGAATGTGTGAAGACCCAAATTCTACTTCCACATGGAAATAGTAGAAATATTTGTTCTTTTTTTCCATAATTATTTATTTTATTATGTGATAGGAGTTGCTATATGATTTTTCAGATATAAGACGCAATCCAGATCTGAGTAGATTCTGATGTCTGTGATCAACAGACTGTAGAGGAATTTGTGTGTGCATTAGGACTAAGATAAAATTTGAGCTTTAGGAAATGGAGCAAATGCTACAGTGCTACCTTAAGCTCATAATTCAGAGAACAGGGCCTGGAGTTCTTGGGCCACAGGAGATGCTCCCCATACCCTCCTGTGCCAATATAGAACTAGAGGGCTTAGCTCTGAAACCAAACACTTAATTGTTCTGTACTGGAGAAGAGCAACAGAAAGCTTTTGAGCTTCATGCACCTGTATCAGTCCTTCAGATCTTTCATGCAGTATCTTAAGGATACCGTAAACAGTTATGGGCTCAGGAAGGTCAATTTCCTCCCTCTTCTTCCATTTTCTTATGCTTCTCATATTTTCAGCATCCTTCAGCTAAAGTGCCCTCAACTTTTGCTAATCATACATCATATCAGGATCATGCAGTTAGAACCTCAGTTTCCTCATACTTTTCCTCCACTCATGAGATTTGCCTGTACAAGACAATGATTGCATCCTTTATGATAGCAGACACGTGCTTAGGCAACAGCAGTGTGGTCTCTCCACCACTATTCAAGACCAGTGGGTTGCAATTCCAGTGTTTGGTGTTCACTGTGAGATTTTCTTCTTTCTGTGTTCTCAACCTCCATGTTGAGGTTGTAAAAGTATGCAAGGTTACATTTACTTTGTTTTTAAACATGGTTTGCTTTTAATTTAATTAATTCTCATAGACAGCAGCATTTCTAACTCAAAAATATTCTCCAATAGAGAATGGTATCAAGTCTAGCACTATAATCAGTGCAGTCTGTGGGTTCATTGCAAGAGCCAGAAATCCATGATTCATATCTTACCACAGTCATCCCCTCACTGTCAAGCTACTTTCTGCCCCAGTACCCAGTCTTCAGCAGGAATAGTAATGCTGGCTTCTTATATAGGATTAGTTTAAGGATTACTGACAGACTGCCGACGAAGTGTTTTGAACATTTAGCAAATGCATTGTATAAACAGTAAATGTTACAATACTCTTCTCTCCCCATTCACTGAAGCAATAGCTTCTTTGTTGTCACTATTCTAAATGATGGGAGTATTGTTGGAGGTTATTATCTCTGGAAACATAAATTACAAGTTCACTGAAATTAAAGTCTCAAAGTAAGTGCTGAAATTCACAATGATGTCACCTCCCTTACTTTCCAGTCACAACTGTGGGTGTGCATTAGAGACATCTCATCATCTTATAAGGTAAAAGATGTGCAACTAGGCACAAAGTGCTTCTTCATTCAGTAAACAAAATTTAAGGGATCATTTGTTACCAGTTTTAATAGTCTGGTTGTTTGATGAAAGACTTCAAGAGTACATGACCAGCCACTGTGCAAATCCACCAAATCATTAATAATAAAATTAATGTTATTGTATTTTATTTTATGTTTAAGTTACTTCAGATTCTGAGCATTGTGACTCAAGATCGTTAGTGTTTTTGAAGGGATGTTTCTCCTTCGTGTCCTCTGTGAATACACACTAATGGGTTAATATGCTGCTGAGCAGAGCAGTCTTCGGTAACTTCCACAGCTTTAAGCACTTAGTGCTATATAACTCAGCCTCCAGCCCAGTGCTTCAGTTCTTTTTCTGACCGCTGCTGTAGCAGCAGCTTCGTTGGAACTTCACAAGTAGAAACAAATCTTTTTCTTGCCTTTTCTTTCTTTCCCTTCACCTCCCCTTGTTATTTGTAACAGGTTGTTTCTTTTGCCTGGGGGATACAATACTAGCCGGCATTAGTTGTTCTTTGTTGAGGCTTTACAAAGCCTTTAGAAAGCCTGCGTTTCAGCCCTAAAGTCTTTTCTCTTAAAGAAATAATATCTCTTTACCTTCTTTATAACTACTCCCAGGCTGGAAAGCAACAGGTTTGTTTTGTCTGTTTGCAATGTTCTCTCTTAGCAGGATAAAAGAGGACAGCTTCTCAGCTTGCCTGAGCTACAACCTCTCCGGAGTTTGGCACAGAACAGCCTTCTTGTTTCAAGGGGCTCGTTCTTACAGCTGTTGCAGTGAGGGGACAGCCCTGAAAGGAGGGCTTCCTAGCTCCAGCCCCCCACTTCAGTGGGCTACAGCCTCTTCGGAGGCTGG